TCCTGTCTCTTTAAAATATATCCAATCACTTATCATCTCCTTCTCCCCATTGACCTGGTCACCATCAGTCACACCACCTTGTCCCCTTATTTGGATGGTTTTAACCACTTTCTGTTTTCTCTCTTGCCACGTTGTAGTCTATTTAAAACTATTTTAGGCTTATTTTATTTTATATTTATGAATGTTTTCCCTGCATGTATGTATGGAAATCCATATGCATACCTGGTACCTTCGTAAAAAGTCAAAAGAGGCCTTTGGATTCTCTGGAGTTGGAGTTATGAATGGCTGTAAGCAACCATGTGGGCTCTGAGAATTGAACCAGAGTCTTCTGCAAGAGGACCAAGTGCTCTTAGCCACTAAACCATCTCTCCAGCCTTCCTCAAGCCTATTTTTAGTCAAGTAATCACACCACGTGTGTGTGTTGTCTATGCACATGTCTTGTCCATGAGCATGCACGAAAAGACCAGAGGAAGACATTGAGTGTCTTGCTTTATTACTCTTTGCCTTATTCCCTTCAGACAGAGTCTGCCCCTGAACATGGAGCTATGCTGGCAGCCAGCAGACTTCAGTGATTCTCCTGTCTCTGTCCCTCATGATGATGGGGTTATAGTTGCAAATGCAGGCATGCCTGGCTGTTTTTGTGGACGTGGAGGATTTAATCCCAGGCCCTCATGCTTGCTCAGCAGGTGCTCCCACCCCCGAACCATCTACCTCTCCTAGAGTGCTCCTTTGGACAGAAGATGATGTCACTCTGCTTGAAGGCTTGAACTAGCTTCCAGTCTGTGGCGCCATCTCTGGTTTCTAGATATGCCAATCATGACAGTGTGACAGCGTCCTTTGAAGGATACTGATTTCCACAGGGGGTCCCTATGGGAAGTAACATGTATGCAGGAGTTGGACATAGCTTGTCTAGGATCAGCCTGAGTTGGCCAAGGGTCACTGTGTTAGTTCTGTGGTTAGTTGACACCCCTTCTAAGTGGAAGCAAATGTAAGAAGCAATGTGCTGAGCAATGTAATTGCTCATCAGCCGAAATCCAAGCTGCAACTAAGAGAAAAGCATGCTGAAAGGTTTTGTGCTATACCAAAATACCAGATTTATCATTAGTTTCAAGACCTCAGAGTTTGTCTTTCCTTGCTTCACAGGAAGGAAGCATGGGAGAAAGGGAATGACATAGGAATCATGCCCAGGAGGACCCATGTGTACAGAAGAATGGGTTGTAGTTCAGAAAGTTCTTTTTTTCCCCATCCCCATCTCTGTGGGAGCGTTGTGACCTTGAGCGTCTTGGTCATGTGACAGGTGCTGGGGAGTAGAAATTAAGCATATTTAAAGAACACGCCTAAGATAGCATCATATGAATTCATGGGCTGATAGCAAAGATCCTTGCTGGATATTCCTCTGATGTTGGAAAGATAAAGGCCATGTGGATCCCTGTTCCTTAGCTGACCTGGGGACCTCTGCCTGTGGGCAGAGACATCTTGACTAAACCTTTCCACATAACAGTGAGAAGTCAACACTCACTGCTAAGTGCTTGTTGATTATATAGAAGTCACTGAGTATACAGCCACCTACCATATGTGCATCCTTGGTCTCATCTCTGAACTGGGGATAGCAAACATAAGTGCTACATGTACAGCACTGACCCTGGGGTGGGCAGAGTACCCATTCCACATCACCTCTAAATTTCTGATGTTCTCTACACTGCAGAGTGGATACTATACTTAAGTGAGCAAGGCAGGTTGGAACTCTGCAGTGAAATGGATGGTTGAGAGATCAGGGAGGGATGCGTTTGGGTGTTCCTGGGTAGTGTGGTTGAAATAGTAGAGTATGAGGGTTTACTGGATAGTTTTATGCTAATTTGACATAAGCTGGAGTTATCTGAAAGGAGGGAACCTCAGTTGGAAAAAATGCTTCCATAAGATCCAGCTGTAGGGCATTTTCTTAATTAGTGCTTGATGCAGGAGGGCACAGCCCATTGTGGGTGGTACCATCCTTGTGCTGGTGGTCCTGGGTTCTATAAGAAAGCAGGCTGAGTAAGCCATTATGAGCAAGCCAGTAAGCAGCATCCTCCATGGCTACTGCATCAGCTCCTGCCTCCAGGTTCCTGCCCTGTTGGAGTTCCTGTTCTGACTTCCTTTGTTGATGAATAGTGATTCGGAAGTGTAAGCTAAAAAAATTCTTTCCTCTCCAAGTTGTTCTGCTGATGGTGTTTCATCACAGCAGTAGTAACCCTAACTAAGACTCTGTGTGTGTGTGTGTGTGTGTGTGTGTGTGTGTGTGTGTATGTGTGTGTCTTCTCCCTGTTCATTTAAGAGCATGAAAGCAGGATACTATAATAGTACCCCAAGCGGGTAGCATCATCCTCCTCTTGACTTGAGTTTGTGGGCTCATGCCAGTGTAACCTGCTGCTTCTTACAGACTCTTGGGGTGTGGGGAGATGCCTAAGTTGTATGCTTGAGGGTGCTTCATTTCAGACTCCCTACCTGCCACAGGGCCAACCTTCCCCTGCTGGAGGCTGTAGGAAATTGAGCTGGAGGGAAGAGAGCTGTGGTTTCCTGCTGAGCAAATCAATCCCTTTCTGCCAATGTCCTGGGCATGGTGGTGTCTGGGCCAATTCTGTGTATCAAGTCTTCATTATCCCTGGGGTGAAACTCCTTTCAGGTATGTGACACAGGTCACTGTGGGAGACACCTCCCACAGAACATATGCTATTAGAGGACCCATTATCATGTCTCGGCATGCAGGCCAGAGTGTCCTGCTTAACCCTCCGTTTTTTTTCCTGTGGCCCTGGCAGGTGTTGAGCGTGAGGGGCGGCGGATGGAGGAGAGAGTACATCTATTTCCTCTTTCTGCGTTTCTACTTCAGTGGTGGAAACATCATAAGCTCCCTATGATACAGAGACTTGGTCCTAGAACACTGTCCCTCCTCACCCCTTCCACCTGTGACTGTGACTGAAGGAGACTGTTCATCCAGTAACTGAGATGACGTGCTGATAGGAACAGATCGCCCTCTCTGAACTCCTCCTCGTGCCTTCAGTGTTCAGCAGATTTTGGAATGCTGCCACTCTGCCTGGAATGCCTTGGCTCTCTCTTTGCAGCTTGCCTTCTATCTTTTTTCCCTCTTTTCTCCTCCCTTCCTCTGCTTTCCCTTCTATGCCAGTGACCACCTCACTCCATATTAATCAGACTTGTGTAGGGGGAGGTAAGGGTGGCAAAGGACCCCCTAATGATCCCCTATGCTAGTGGAAATCAGACAGATTGTGTGTTGGGGCTTAATGTGCAATTTCATGACTTTTCACGGTCTCTAAACTGCAAATTCAAGATTATTTGAAAACATTTATTTAATTTTCATGCTTTTTAATCAAAAAAAGTTAAAAGAATAATAATCTTTTATAGGCAGTTATAAATGTGTTATTTACACACAAGACAGAAATATCTCCCTTAGCTGAGCAATCTAAGCGTGTGCCTAGGGAGAATTCTGCAAGAATACTGATGAGGAAGGGCATGGCTGTGTGCGGAGAGGATTTGAGTCAGTCTTGAAGGCGATGTGTGTTGGGCTGGAGTGGTCTCAGGGCCATCAGTGTGTCACCCCATCAGTTCCTCAGCCTCTGTATGTAGGAGTGACCTGATGGTGATCCCCTCGTGGGGAGGACCAGTGTCTCAGCCATCCGTACATTCCCGCAGAAGATGTGGGATGGGAGAAGCAGTCAGTGACAGAGGGCACTGCTCTCTGTGCTGTCCTCCCACCGTCTCTTCCACTGACACTGGAAGGCACAGCTGAGCTACGGGCTCAGGGAAGCACTCTGCAGGGAGATGTGAGAATGAAAATGTCCACATGTTCTTTTTCCTGTCGTTGGGAATCATTATCTGTCTGTTGTTTGATTCACAAATCTCGATCTTTAAGATTTCATGTTTGGAGGTCTGGTTAATCTACGGGGCCTCTGGTAGTGGATCACTATTTATCCCTAGTATATGAATGGACGTTGGGAGCCCATTCCACATAGAGGGATGCTCTCTCAGCCTAGACACAGGAGGGAGGGCCTAGGCCCTGCTTCAAGTGATATGACAGACTTTGATGATTTCCCCATGGAAGGCCTCACCCTCCCTGGGGAGCAGAAAGGGGATGGGATGGGGGGGAGGTCAGTGGGGCGCAAGGGAGGAGGAGAGGGGGGGACTGGGGTTGACATGTAAAATAAGCTCGTTTCTAATTTAAATGAAAAAGGGGGGAAGAAAAAAAAAGAGGATGTCAAAAACCCTGAGTTGAACTTTTTCCCTTTGTGAATGAAGGAGCAGCTTTAAAACAAGGGGCCTCCTCAGCAGAGGTCAAAGCCGAGTTTCCTGCCCATTCCTAACTAGATGTCCCTCCTATGTCTCCGTTTTGACATCCCTTGACATGTGCCACCTCACATGGTTTCCCCACGTCCCGCGCCCTCTAGGTTTACCTTCTGGGTCCTTCCTCCTTCACCTCTGCACACTTCCTTCTTTTCTGACTAAGAAGTTTAGAATGAAGTAATCTAAAAGCTTGGGAGGCTGGCAGAACCCTATAGATCCATGAGGTGTGGAAAATGAAGGAAGATACTGCCCAGCCCCCCTATGGAATGAGATAAGGTCAATATTGGGTCCAAAGTACCTGGTGGGTGGTTTTTTTTTCCTTTTTTTAATCACAAAGTTGGCAAAGCCCCAGCTACACAGACAGCTGATATGGTGAAATCAGTCAGCCAGTAGAATCCCTGAGCTTATTACCAATCCACAGGATAACGATGACCACATCATCATAATCGTTATTGCCTTAGACAGGCGTGGATGACAAAGGTACTCTGGGGACTTGTGTTTGAAATGGGCTGCTTCTTAGCCAACCCTGACTCTCCAGAGTGACTTTCTACAGAATTAAAGGATTGTGAGGCAGAAAGGGCCCATGAAGATCATCGGTTCTGGCTTCCTGCCTTCCGACAAGACTAACCTTTGTAGAATTGTTGCTGTAAAGGAAATTGAACCAAACTTACTTTTATATGTTATTCTTGTGATAGTATCTCTGTTGAGCATTCGATTAAGAAATGGGTTTGATGAATCAGAAACCTATAGGGGAAGAGAAAGTATTAATGACTGTGTGTTAGTCACTATCCCAGGGCAAACATCTCCATGCATTATTTCATTCCTACATATTGATGTCTTACCATGGGTCCAAATCTATGATGGTTGGAAATTAAGAGAACAGAAACACACACTCTATTCTGTTTGGACACCTCATATTGAGAAGGAAGAAAAGTAGTTAAACAAATCATCCTCGTGTGGATTAGGGAGTGCTCTGATGGAGTCCACCCACTGTCTGGGAATCAGGAGAGCTAGGGTCTGAGTTGGTTTGGAAGGATGGATGGAAGCTCAAGTATTTTAATGTTAGAATATAGGAAAGACAGAAAGGCAAGGAGGGCAGGAAAAGCATTCATACTGAGGATCTGTTCACAATAGGCGGATGCTCACGCAAACATTTAGTATAGTTCAAAAGCTAAAAGCACTGGGATGGGATGCTAGCCCATGTTAGGCTTTGAATGTCACAACAGGGTATATTTAAACTTTATTCCTTAGGAATGGGGAACCATCAAAGAGTTTTGAGCAGGGAATATGGAATGAAATGTCAGGAAAGAGGCATTCATCTAAGTAGGAAGAACATCTAGAATAGGGGTACCAGAAGAGGGAGGATAAAGAGAACCTTGTAATTCCACTGCTCATTATCATATGAATATATTATAAACTACAACATTCAATCTTCCACTCACCTACCCATCTCTCCTAGAAATATTTATCAAGCACCTATAGTGGGCTAAACATTGTTCTAGAGATGAGTTTCCATTTTGTACGTATGCTTTTACATATCCAGATTCTTCCTCTGGGAGAAGAGACTAAGCCAAAAACAGACTAGGGTCTTTATCATGTGTAGTTTCCTTAACAACACCCTTTTTATTCAGGCTTTTCCCAGTGCCACTGTTCATCTTAGTCATTTCTCTCCTACCTTGCTCAGCGCAGCTCTGCAATTTACATCTCAGTTGCTAATCGGATGTTGTGACACATCAACATTTTAAATCTGATTTATTCTGAGGTTTGGAAAAATCACAGCAGATGATCATCGTTATTAGATAAGCAACAGGTAACTTTAGTTTGGGGAAAGCACAGACTGTTTATTTTGTCTCCATCTGTCTTTCTTTTCACAGGGTTTTCTGTGTGTGTTGTAGTGAGACATACAGCACGATCTCAGTGGAGGCAAAAATCCATCTCCAGTAGGGCAAAGTCCCAAATTGAACATTGTGCTCCCTGGATACATAAGTGCCAAGTTCAGCTTCTGTTGCGACATCCTCTAAAGCACTGAAAGGACAGCTCAGCACCTCCTCCTGTTTGTACTGATATACTCTGTGGCAGCAGGAGGCCAGTGAGGTTGTCTGGTGGAATAGGAATCTGCAATGGGTCTAAATTTCTGGGTGTCTTGGCTTCCTGACAAGCCGGACAATACTGCTGTTGAGACCAGCCCCCTTTGGTGCTGATTAAAAGTTACTGAAATATTTCCAAAGTGCACACAGATGATTTGTGGGCACAAGTGTGTTGGCTGTGTGGGTGAGAGGATAAAGTATGTACTTGATATAAGTGAACTAAGTGGGAAGTTAATGGTATGTGATTGAACAGCAATTATAGCCAAATCTCAGCTCCCTGTAGTCATGGAAGGGAAGAGGAAACAAGTCTCTCTTATTGATTGAGTGATTGACTGGTTGTGTGCACACACACACTTATGCCTCAAAGAATGTGCAGAGCTCAGAGGCCAACTTGTGGGAGTCAGTTCTCTCTTTCCACCCAGGTCCCAGGAACTGAACTCAGGTCGTCGGGCTAGTCAACATGCACCCTTAATTGCTGAGTCATCATCTCTATTTACCACTAAACCCTTAGCCATCTCTGGCTCAGGATTTGATCAGGGTGATATTTCTCTAGATGAACCACTCATTCGTAGGGATTTCTCATCTTGTGTTCTTGCTTTACCTACAGGGAACTGGAAGTGGGAGGCAGGGGTATCAGAAGGAGGGCTGGAGGCTATCAGAGGCTGAACATCCTTAGGGACTAAGGATTCAGTCCATCTCATTTCTGGGTACCAGTTTCTAGTAGAGGATGGACCTCTGTGTTCCATTGAAGGTTTTTTTTTTTTTAATGAGTGCATGACAAGTCAGAGCTCAGCTAGCTCACTGTAAATCTGGGAGTTGACTTTGTGGAAGAAAGAGGGAATGCTATGGTTTATTTTGAGATTGATCCAGAAAGGTTCAGGTATGCGCAAGGAAAGAATGGGAAATTCCTCAGGGACTAAACTGACCTAAGAAGATTCAGGAGCTGGCCACTGTCCCTTACTGGCCTAAGGCTTTAGTGTAGGTCTTTCCAAACTTCAGGGGAGCAATCAGGACCTGCAAACCTGACTATTGGTCAGGACCTCAATGTAGTACAAATTTCTGCATGAGCTTGTGAAACAGCATCAGTTTGCTGTGGAGGAAGTTGGCTGCCAGTCACTCCATCAGTCACTGTCAGCTGTTACATGCTTGAGCTTCCAGGACAGTGTTCACTGACTTAGAAGCTTGGAGCAAAGTGAGGCAAAGTCAGCGACTGACACTGAGATGCTTTTCAAGGAACACAAATTATTGGGAAAGGCAAGTTGGCCCCTGGATATTACTCTTGGAAGGCGTGGCATGTGGACAACCACACCGAGAGGTGATTCCTGGTAACACGACAATGTGCAACATACCGTCAGGTTTTACAGTGCTCATGGACCAGGCTGGCTGCATGGATTGGTTGTCTGTATCCTAACTGGGACAAGAGTAAAAATTTGCTTCTGGCTTTCAGGCACCAGTGCCATGGGGCTGGGAGTGTGTGGCAGTGTTGTTTTCTCTCTACTCATTCTCAGTTCCTCTCCCAGATCTGTTGAGTAGGTATATGATGGGAATACACTAATGAATACTACAGGGAGGAAAGACTTGGGTGTCTTTCCTGACTGGGGTATTATGAGCTTCAGGAATTTGGCCTGGCTCAGATGAAGGTGAGGAAGTTAGCAGGAGGCATGGCCTCTGGGAAGACGACCAGTACCTATTATAGAGTCTGCTTTGGGGGGAAACTATTGCCTAAGGGGTCTCTAAGGACCCCATTATCCCAAGAGCTCTGTTAAATCTCCTTGGTGGTGAATGCTAAATTTCTACTGAAATTCTTCATAGTATTCCAAGTTCTGGCTGGTCCAATTGTCTCTAATGATTGGGGCACAAACCTCTCCAGCAACTAGCATAGTGACTAACATAGTTTACAAAACAAAAACTTTTACAATTGGAAAGGAAATTTTATATTTTATTAAAAAATTGCACATCTGCATCACTTTATATCTGCCAAAATATTAAAGATAATTAAATTAACAACCAGAATTTGTTCAATTGGACATTTCACACTGTTCTTGCCTATTGGATATCAGGGAAGCATGACTGAAGGTCATACGGTCAACATGGGGACTTTGTCTTAATTCTACCTGCCAGGATTATAAATCAGCATTCAAGTGGGAAAGGAAGATGAACTTTCTAGCTGTTGTGCGGAAGCCTGGAAGTTCATAGTGCAGGGTCTGCCAGGGAGGGACATCTCATACTTCTCTTATTCTCCTGGTGGCAGCAAGTCCTAGAGGCTGTCAGTACTCCGGTCCCTCTTCTTCTGCTGTTGTACCCTGATTCTGCCTGAAGCCTGGCCTGCAAATAGCACAGGCTTTCTCTCTAGGATAGAGGCTGCCCAAACCTACAGGCCCTAAAATGGAACCTATCACTTCTTCATCTTACTTGAGTAGCCCTGAATCTTCCGTGAATTCCATGGTTATAAAAACCATAAGATCCCAAAGCTCTCTTAGGTGTGGACATTAATTGACATTACGTCTTTAAATGTTTTTAATCTCAAAAGAGACTGTAGACTAATATTCTGGTTGGCGTGGGGGATGGCAAGAAGAACAGAAGAATGCAAAACTTACTTTTATAAATATAGAAACTACCACCAATCCGTTTGGACTCTTCGCAGCTTCTGTGACGTTTGTGTATAGCTCGTGGTTATAGTGGATGAGTTGTACCTGGCAGAAAGGAAAATCAAGAGTGAGAAGAACAGTCCAGCATCAAAAGCAATGAGGCACAGCTTATCCTTCAGCCCAAGGGTGAACTGCAAACATACTGAAGAACAATTGGAAGGACATGTTTTTAATTGAAGAAATTTCAGAGGGAAGTGTAAATAGAATCCGTGTGTATACAATGAGTGTGCATGTACCATCCATAAGAACATACTACCTATACACATTTGCAAACATGTTCTGGTAACAAGGGTGCTTTTATATAAGATGAGTGCCCATCTGGTTCTTTCTCCCAGGACATTTCCCCTAAAGTGTGTGTTAACTGAATTTTCCTAATTAGGAAATAGAACAGGCCTTCAGGTGTGGGTATCCTCTCCCAGCAGCACCAACAGCTACCACAGGCAGTGAATAAATCTCCCTGGTAGTCTTGGGGTGAGCAGGGAGATGAGCCAGCCCCATGTGGGGGAGACTGGCAGCGTGCAGGTTGCTTGGTTCTGCAGAAGAGAGAGTGAATGGCTGTTTCATGATGTGCCAGCCTGCTCAGTTCACTTGGTTATGCAAAATATTGTTTCCCCTTTCCCTGACCAGAACCAGTGACTGCCTGTCAAATTCTGTGCAGCAAGCACTGGGGAGGGTGGGGGCAGCAGGAGTGGCCCTAGATTTGGATTGTGGTGAATTGGGTTTCCCTCTATTACCTTAGTCTTCTAAACTCCCATTGTTGAACACATTACAGACTTTTAGCCACATGATCAAGTTTTATATCATTTCACCCAGATCTAATCACTTACTATAAAAAGTGAGAGTGATTGTTTCTTTTAAGATGTGACCTTGTAGCTATGATTTTAAACAATATTTTTATAGCAATGTGAAAGCATATTTGTGGTAACAAATAAAAAAAACATAGATGTGAGCACCATTTCCCTCATCTCTAGCTAATCCTGGCTCACATGATAGAAAATAGACAATTCAGTGTAGATTCTCCCAGACTGGTTTCTTTGCTTATACAGCACAAAGCAGCACATATGCAAATGAAGTTTAGAGGAACAATGGATTGGGCTGGACACAGTTCAACCAGTAGTGCTCTTACTTGTTCTGGGTTCCAAGTTCCAGCACCATATAAACTGAGCTTGGTGGTGCACACTTGAAATCCCAGCACTTACAAGGTGGAGGCAAGAAGATCAGGTTTCAAGGTCATCCTCAGTTACTTAGTGAGATAAAAGCCAGCTTGGGATACACGGGACTAGACGCGTCTTAGAAACAATAACAGCAACACCAACAGAAACGATAAAATGGAATAATTTAAAATTATGATTCTAAAGTTTATTTCTGACTGCCTTTTTGTTCAGTTCAACACCTATACATTTACCCATAGTCCTCCTAGAAGCAATAGCTTCCTCCCTGCACGAATACTCCATAACACACTGAGCCACCCACCGGCTTTCATGTGTTTCCATCGTTTTGCCTCTTACAACACTGTCACAGCAAAGACATCATAGATCTCTCTGTAATGGTGTTAGTGCTCTGAACTGGCTGATTGAGAATCTAACAAGGTAGTGCCTGGAAAGTGACTTATGACTCTGAAAGTACAAGACAATATTCATTACTGCCAGTATCCCACATTGCATAAAAGGGCGTGTGTGTGTGTGTGTGTGTGTGTGTGTGTGTGATTTTCAAAGTTAAGAAAGACTATGACCCAGAAGGAAACACCTAGCTACATTTGTTCCTGTGGTGTATCAGTGTTGCTGGGCATCTAGGTCACCTAGTGCTTTGGAACTCTCCAGAGCCTGCTTGCCCCACTCCAGTTCTGACGATTTGGGGAAGGAAGATGGCTGTGTGTTTGTTAAAGGTTCTCCAGCTACAGATCCACCGGAGCTGCAAACCACTGGAGCACCGTTAGGCGTCAGGAACCCAGCAGTGCCTTTTCAGAGTGAACCACGGATGGCCATCCTGAGTCCACGGAACAGCGCCACTTCTCTTGACATTCCTAATTTGCTTTTTTAACTTCTTATGTATTTTGCCAGTGGAGACAGATGGTTACACTGCAGCTAGTCTGCCGCCAGAAAGGCAACCACAGGCAGGGCCTAGGGGACCATTTGCCTGTGCAGTGCTCTATCAGGCCTATGCTCACAATTTTAACTTACAACAAAAGGCAGCAATGGAAAGAATAGGTACGTATAGAAGTGTGGGCAACATCTGCTAGTGTAGCTAGTGAAAGGCTCTTTGCAGAGAAGATATTTGGGCTGAGATCTGATGATGAAGAAGAGCAAGGCCTGGGGAGGTCGGAAGGAGCCATGTCAGCCACACAGAGTATAGCGAACACAAAGGGCCTGAGGCAGTGACAAGCAGTGCAGGTGGTTAGGGGCCGTTCAGGGTGGGACCAACTCGCACAGGACTTTTCAGACCGTGGTGAGGGTCTTTGCAGCAGGAGGTTGAAGGAGTTAAGAAACTAAACTGACTCAAGTGCAATTTTGAAAGATCCCTTTGGTCACCAAGAGGGGCACAGTAGAGACAGGAAGTCTTTACATCACAGTCACCTATTACCTGTCTTTTTCTAGGACAATGACATTGACTTTCAAGCTCTTCTCTGTTCCCATGCTTACCCAGGATTTATTGTGATTATATATTAACTTGCAATGATTGATTTGGTGTGTCAGTTTGATGGGGCTGAGGATGTCCAAATAGCTGGTAACGTTTCTGGGTATGTCTGCGAAGATGTTTCTGGAACAGATCAGCATGTACATTAGTAGACTGAGTAGAATGTATCTACCATTTCAAACATGGATTTGTATCTGCTACAAGTCCATAGTGAATAAAGAGATGGAGGAAGGGTAAATTCTTTCTTCTTGGGCTAGAACATCCATCTTTATCTGTCCTTGGAAATCACAACTCTTGGTTCCAGGGCCTTGGCTTTGACATCTTGGATTCATACCACAAACATCATTTAAATGTCCATGGGTCTTCAGACTTTGGCCCTGGATTGAGATCATGCCAATGAATCCCTGGTTCTTCAACTTAAAGATGCCATGTGGTGAGACTTTTCTCCTGCTGTAGTCAGGTGGACTGGTTGCCATAACAAATCTCTTTTTTATAAACATATCAATGTATTCTGCTGGTCCTAGCTCTTGGGAAACTGATGGCAAATGAAAATTCCAAGTATCTTACAGCCCAAATGGCATGGGCACTGGGTTATCAGGATAGATACAAACCATAGCTACCTAATACAGACATGTGGGAGCTTAACATCACTGTCAGAGTTATCATCACCACCAGCATCATCGTCATCATTATCATCATCTTTTATTGATGATCACCATTAGCATTTGTTGAGCATTAATCATCTACAATAAATGTAGGAATCAAACAGTGATGTATTTAACAAGGGGTGGTATGTTGGGCGCTTGGAGAATGGGTTTGAACATCCTCTCCAGAGATTCACTTTGAACTGAGATTTATAAATACAGCATTTATAAATAGGACATAGGCAAAGGGAAATGTCCGCTGTGATATAATCTCCTTTAATTCTCAAAAACTCCTTAATGTCATGATCTGCTTTTTATTTATGGGGACACCATTTGATCAAGTAAGTGTAGAGTGGTAAACTGTACCCAGTTCTTACGATTATAGAGTTCACACTCAAACACCATGTTACTTCTTAACTACTGGCTTTGCATTAGCATCCACCTTTAGGTAAATATCTAAGGGATAGATACTATTCATCATCTTGCTCTTAATGTTTATCATGGAAGTTGACCCAGTGTGGAGATTAGCAAATGCTTACTGAATGAATCATTCTACTGCTCAGAGTCTGAGTCCTGGAAAGGGCCTTAGATAAAACCAAGGCTAGCTCATGTCTGTTAAACACAAGGGAACTTAGGATCAGAGAGGGTCTATGTTTTGCTTATCACAACATGATAATTTATACTTCATTCATTGGAAGCATGGTAGAGGAGAAATTGGCTAGGACCACAGAAGACTGTGGAGAACCTCACAGGTTCAGGTGGCTCTAAGGTGTCATGCCTATGGTTTGCAGGCCTCTGGTCTTTGCACTGAAACTCATGAGATCAGATGCAGAACCATATTCACATTCCAGGATTTTCTAGAGACCAAAGCAAAAACTTCCTCCAAGCTCCACACTGAAATACATCTTTTGAGCTAATTCCCAAGTATTTGCTGTTGCTGAATGAACACTTGCTGTGAGCAGGCTTGTGAGTCCACGGCAAGTTGTCCCTGTCATTGGGCCAGCTGAGAGCTGGTATGAAGCATAATTTTCCTTTTCCAGGAGTGTGTGACAAGTACGTAACCTGTATGTGACAAGTGCTTCTCACTCACCCCTCATGTCTTGGAAGAGTGACCAGACATCACTCAGGCCGATGCATATGCTCTACTTTACCTTCCTCTGTTGGACACTCTACCCCTTATTAAACATGAGTCACCTTGTGATGACATTTAGCATGACAGGCGACCACATTAACCTCTGTAATAACTCAGTGGCTTCCACTGCCCATAAGGTAAAGGCCTGTGTGTGAGGCCAAACCTTGGGTGGACCCTGACTTTTTCAAATGTGGTTAACATGTCTTAGCAGCTTTCTTTCTGTCTGCCTTACACATCCTACCTCTTCCTTCTATACAACCTGTGCATATTCTGTTATTTCTGCTTAATATATCTTTCCCTCCCTTTTAAAAATCTGTCTTTTATTTGTGAACCCCTTTAGAACTCAACTCAGGGGTCACCCATTAAAGTCATTACCACAGTCCTGTTGACTTGGAACACACATCACGGTTCTGTTTTCATGTTTATTGTGAGAAAGATTAGTTCTTCACATATTTCACTAGACTCTAAGCTTCATCTGGCTAAGAACCATGCCCAGTATCCTAGGATGTACACTGTATCTGTACACCGCATCTGTACATAGTAGCAATGGCAAGGTAGAAATAACTGTGAAATAGATCGAGGAAGCAAGGCAGGCCATGATCAGATGATGAAATGTGATATCAAGAGAAGCAAGG